AGAGTGTGAGTAAAGAAATCACATGGGTAGCTTTGTAATTACTGGTGTTTGACCGTGCTTAGCAAACCAAACCGAATCGAGTTCACATATGGGCGGGAAAATTGTGGACAGAAAATGTTGCACTCCAGTTTGCATGCTTTTTCACGTGATTTATTTTATCGGCAACACAACCAATGCGGTGGAATTAGGAAATTAAGAAACTGAAGGTGAGCTAAAGAATTCTCTATACGTCAGACAGATTTAAATTAGTCCCGGCATGGTCGCACACGCACACAAGTGCGCAGCTGGGTCCCGCGGGTGGGGGGGGGGGACAACACTACTTACCCGTGAGCTCATTCAGAGCAAACAGTTCCCGTGTCCTGGACTGACCTACTGTGACTAGGGTGTAATGAAGCGTGGCCGGTGTCGGAGAATGCGAAGGATGACTGCTATCATTCGGATCATCATCATCATCAAGTCGAGCAACAAATCGACAAACCAAACTGCCGACTAGCACAGACTCGCTCAGGTTCACGTGCACGACTAATCCGCTTGAGCCAACAGGGTTGGGTGATGCGGTCAGATTGCGCCAGGTTAGGTGGGTAGCAGCAGAATCTTTGGCGAACAGCTCCGGTATATAGGTGGGCAACGAGGGTGTGGTAGTCTCCAGCTGGAAAGTTACCTGCATGCGGAACCAGAACAAAGTAATGAGTACGAGGGAGATTGAACCGTGAAGTTGGCAGGTTCTCAAGGTGACAATGGTTAGACGAAACGACCGATAATATATATGAGCACGTTGTAAAACAGACAAAGAACTTTTGATCATATAGCATAAAGAATGGAGGAAAAAAAGAAACGAACGGGACAGATCGCAGGAATACACTATGGCTCTTAAAAACGTTCATTGTTGAATACAACAATGAGATGCTCAGAGGAACACCAAGAACGCAAAGCCGAACGCATATGGCCGTGTATATCTGTCAACTGAACGCAAAGAATTGTATAATAATTGTGTAGAGTAGATGCAATATTGAACAGGATCAGTGTGAAGTAGTTCACCACTAAAGTGGATCTTGGGCCTCATAGATTCAACGGTGAGTGCAACGTAGATAGTTCGACCACTGTTCCAGCGAGATTAATCTAACCTATTGAGTAAATCAGGTATCTGATTGGATATATACATATCAATGACTGAGTACCTTCTAAGGCATCATCACCATCAACAAAACCCGAGCGAATGGAACCACTAGGGACGAGTACATTGAGTGACCAGTATGCGCAATTTTGTTGAAAACTGCTTTTGTCTAAAGACCCATGTTCAACTCAACAATTTTGCTGTTCTGCAATCAAATACTTGGTTAATCTAGCCAATCTGAGATAAATCTATTTTTTTCAAATAATATAAATCAGAGATAGCTAACTGTGAACTATTTCTCTTTTCCTCTTAAATAATATTTTAACCATCGTCATGAACTCCTTTAATTGGGAAAAAT